AAATCTCATTTTGTTTTTCAATTTTGTGGGTTAGGCGACTTCGTGATAAGGCCGACGATTTATACAATATTCTTAAGCATTATGGCCTTTCATCCAAAGAAACCGTAATTTCTTCAGAAATGCAGGTACGTTTAATGGAAATGAACTTTATTGGTAACAAGCAGATATCAATTTTTCCTAAAGTTACTTGCCAAGAAATTCAAAATTAGTAAGTTTGAGTCAAACTTACATCGATTCATACAAAATCGACTATACTGGTAGCAAGCAATTACCAATTTTTTAGAAAAGTATTCAACAAAGAATTCAAACTCAGCAAATTTGACACAAATCTACATGCGTTTCGTTCAAAAGCAGTTTTCCGGAAGCTCCAAAGTGATGGTTTTTTACCATTAAACCTTGGTACATTCCGCCGTATTTAAATATGTTATACGTTTGAACCAAACGTTATGCCTTTCGCTGAAATAAAACCTTCTCTCAGTGTGGGTCTTAGTTTCTATATTATGTATTTGCCACAACTTACGCATATTGGTTAGAAATAAGAAAATTTTTCTGTGACAATATTGGTCAATTAGTTGTTACTTTGCCATTAATTTAAATGAAATTAAGTTGTAAACAACTTATCATATTAAATATAAGATTATTAAAATATATCATTTTGACACAAAGAAATCAGTTTTTACCAAATATTTATTTGTTTAAAATATTTTTTGGGAGGGATGCTAGCAAACGCAAGGCAGCCATTTTGAACCAAAGAACTTCTTTGTTACGAACCAGTAAACAAGTGTATGAAATACATGCAGTACATAATTTTACGCAGATAAAAATGCAGTGTGTGTTGAGTGAACTATTAATGGTGAGTACTTATTTATTTAAATGTCACTTGTCCATATAATTTTAAGAAAAGTAGGAAGGCCACCTGTATCTATATAAAAATTCGCAAAAAGGACAAAATATCTTGTGTAATCATCGAAAAATATTGCCACAAGTTTTATGAACTATAACTAATCGTGTAATTAATTATCCCATTTATAATAAAATGATATTTAAGTAAATTTCATTCAATTACAGAAGGACATAAAACTATTATTCTTTTTAATCAGGACTAATTTATTGACTTTTGTTACCTTTTTATATTTTATGTATAGGTTGGTACATGATTACTGAAGTATGAGGTAACTTTTTGAATATTTTTTGTTTAAAATGAGTTAGCTAGTTAAGATTTTGTTTTGTATTCTTGTTTTATTTTTTTGGTTAAAAATATTTTTATATGTATACATAATATTATTATACTCTGTATTTTGTTATAAATATTATAAAATAAAATTGTTTTATTGAATTTATTTAGATTTTCAATAACCAGCCTCTCCTGCATTTAAATAATTTTATTGCAAATAAAGGGCTTATTCCTGACAATGAAATTTTCGTTTTGGGCAAATTAATTCTGTCGTGATAACAAGTTGCTTTTTTGTGACGAAATTATTGTTGTGTTGCAATAAAGAACATGCGTTTATCCCAAATAGGTGCATGTTTAATACAAAGAAATGAAAAATTTATTAGAAATAAATATTTAGTTGCAAGAACATAATCTGCTATTTGTAAAGAAATGTATGCATTTACGTCAAATTAATATAAGTTTGTTCGAAACCAACTTTACCAAACTAAGTAATTACTTGCCTTAAGTCTATATTAGTTGCGCAATATACAACCACAGGATTAGTTTACCTAAAATCAATTTCGTTTCTCTCAAACAAATTGTTTTTTCGGTGTATAATTTATCGACAAATTTAAAATTTTATTTAAAAAATCCAAATATTACAGTTTTTATACCATTTTAAATATTTTTTTATTTTAATAAAATAAATAATAAAAATTTAAAATCGAATAAAATCTGTAATATTTGAATTTTTTAAATAAAATTTTACATTTTTGTTTTAAATCTAAATTGGACCTTAGAAAGTAAGTATAAAAATTATTTAAATTAAACACATCGTTGCCTCAATATAAAAGCATGAATTTTTTCCAACAAAAATATTATACATTTAAATCAACCATATGTTAAATTTTAACCAAAAAACATTATTTTTGCGTCAAATTTAATATATTTTTAAATTAAATATATCGTAGTTTTCTATAAAAAATATCCAATACTTACGACAAAGGCATTATATATTTACATAAAGAAGCCCAACTTTTCCATTTAAGAATATATTAGTTTTAAACTAAGTCATAACATGCATTTAATTTAAAGCGCGCATTTACTTTTTCTAAGATCATGATATATTTAAATTACAAATATAAACTTATCTTGAGTCTAATAGATGATTTATTTGTGGCTATTTAAAACAATGAATGCTTTGGTTTAAACCTACAGTATTTGACTGAAAGCATCTTTTTTTACTGTGCACTACTAGTGCACATGTATCACAATTAAAGTTAAATTACACCATTACTGGCAAAATAGACTGAAAAAACTGGTAATAACCGAAATGCGTTTTAAAATGTTTGGTTGGTACCTATCTACCTACGCAGTGCATATCCGGAGATACCGCGTTGTGGAAGTGTGGCATTTTTGTTCAGTTAGATTTTAATTACGGTGAATCCATAAGGGGACATTCTTATTTTTTGGTATGAATTATACTTCATTTTTCTCTAAGCCTTAATACTCAATAAATACCAATATGTTAAAAGGATGTCCATACCCGACCTATATTATATATCAATAATTTACGGCAGTAGGTCGGGTCCTTGTAACATTAATAATATAAATACATGTATGTATACACACTTGATTTACTTTTTATTTTCAAGCGTAATGGTTGTTATATTAACCTATACCTAAATTTTTATTAATATTATGGACAATTTGTACACGTGTGGTAAATCCCCGACATACAGCCGCCTGACGCCTCTCTACCAATGGGATCACCCATTTTTTATAACAGAAAAATGGATTACTGATGAATTCTCAAGATAATTCATTGCTTACAAGTTGACAGCCAGTAAAACATTGCATTGATCTAAAACTTTTACGTTTTAAGGAACCATTTTGCTTAAGCCAGCCATACGACTCAAATATAAAATTATATTTTAAAAGGCACCGATTTTGATAATTGTCATAGATTTTTGTTCCAAATAAATGATTCTCTGTATTTACCTTTTCGTTTTATTCACTACCACCAATAGGTTTTACTCAAATAATAGTGTTAATTTACACTAGAAGTTTGCACTAAAAGAGTAAAAGTACCTTTCTAAAATTAGAACTTTTCCAAAGTAGTGTTAATTTACACTAACCTAAAGTGGGATTTTACCCAGGAAGTGTAGAAGTACACGATTTTAGGTAAATTAACACTTTTTAATACAGTGTAAAATTACTTTAACCTCAGTGCTATAGTGTTAAATCATACTTGCTTACAGGGAAAATTACACTACAAATTAACTCTAATTGTAGTGTTATAAAACAACACTATTTAGTGTGGACTTGTGTGAACTCTAATTAGTGTTGCTTAGAGTTGATTTTTTTTTACTGTGTAGCGGTGAGAATTTTTTTAAGACTTTATATATGTCAATTCAACCCTCGTAGAGAGCGAGAAAGACAGAGAGAGGCAGAGAATGGGTATTGCATAACATATTAAAGAATCCGGCAACAGAATTTAATTTTGGCATAATGGGCGCATTCCTACGTTTTTACGTGGTTCAGTGCTTTTTTTATACAAGGGGACACGTGTAGGTGGGTTATTTATGGTGCAAATTAGTCTGACAATTTTATACCTGGCCGAGTTTTTTCAATGGAAGTTAATTTTACTATAATATATAACTTTTTTCGGCAAAATTTAATGTAAAAATACGGTTGATAGGTAGTTTTTTTAAATTATATGCTAACAAAGAAATATAAAATAAAAACTTATACACAGGGTATGTATTTTACGAAAAAATGTTTAAAAATAAAAATTAAATGATTCAAGGGGGAAAATCAATCAGTACTAAAATTGGTCCTCATACTCCCCTCCTTATAGGGGGAACAGGGGGTAACTTTAAAATTTCCAATGGAACACCCTATTTTTTATTGCAGATTCGGATCATTCGACTAAAAATAGGTAGATTTTGTCATTTGTAATGAAAAAAAATCAATTTGGTTCGATTTTCAAAATCGGATTCTGCAATAATTTTTCTATAAATATATCACTTTTTTAAATTAAATCTGATTTTTTTAAGTTCCCACGATTTTTTAACTAATATTTAAGTTTTCTTTGGTTTAAGTTTTATAAATTATTTCATTCGGTGATAATTATTAATTGCGCACCATGGTCACTTTTTACCTGCCAGCATTAAATCCTTTAATTTAAAAGGATTATTGTAGATACTATTTATAATAAAAATACCTAATTTAAGGTAAAAAAAAAACATTATTTTGTCAATTAATTAATTTAATCCTAATTGAGGTATAAAAAATTGTATTTAGTTATAAATAATAATTATTATTGAGGTATAAAAAAAATATTTATAGTTAAGCATTATTTAATCAATTTAGTTCGAAGATTAATTTCACAGACTGTCTGTGATTAATTTGCAAACAAAAAGACCTCCTTTCGTTAAGCAGTTATTCATAATGGATTTTTTAACAGTGGAAGAGAAAATAGAAATGATTTTGATTTATGGAGAAGCATGCAGGAATCTTGATTATGTTGTTAATATTTACGCTCAGCGTTTTCTGAAAAAAATTCGATCACGTACTTCATTTCACCGTACAGTCAAGCAGTTTACTACAAACGGGAGTGTTCAACCGAAAAAAAGAGTTCGTCGAGCAACAGCCTCAGGTGGAAATAATGAAATTAATGCAACGGCCGCTAATCCTCATGCAAGCACACGAGAATTATTTAGAGATTTGGGAAAGTATTTTATTCAAAAAATATTGGAGAATCCTATAAACAAAAAAAATCGAACAAAATTGATTTTTTTCATTACTGTTATTTGGTATTAATAAAATAAAACTATTTGTAATATGCTTCTATTTATTACTTTAACACTAAATAACAATCTAAGTAAATTTTTTAACTTGGGATAATTCAATATGGTCTTCAGAAAGTATTTGATGACATGTTTTAAACAAAGAACCAATTCTAAAAGAAAAGAGTAAAAAAAATTTATTATATTATAAAAAAAATTTTACCAAAGGATCGGCTTTGTACATACAAAGGTTAAAGTTGTAAGCCTTTTCGGCCAAACTGGTACTTTCTAAAAAATATAGTGATTTTTTTAGAAAAAAAGTGTTAATTTTTTTTATACAATTATATAACCTGGTATATCCCTGCACTTGTTCATTGCAGTCATTAAAATATCCTTAATTTTTGGGTGGGCAGTTTCCTCTATGAAATCATATTGAATTTCTCCAGAAGGACTCATCTATTTGAAGGAGTAATTAATTAAAAAAGGTAATTAGTAAAATAGTTTATTTAAGTAAGTTTTATTTATAGGAATTCATGTTATAGGAATTTTAGGAAAGCTATTTTTTTAAAGGAAAGTAAACGAAGTTAAATTTTTCATCAAAATTTAAAATCTAGAGCTACACAATTTTTTAAACCGTTTTAAACGACTGAAATAAAATTTAAAAATACTTTTTCATGAAAATTTTATAAACAAATTTAAATTTTCGAATTTTTACTTATTTTTCACTTGGTACACAAAAAATTTTATTTCAAAATAATTTTTAATAAATTTTTTAGTACCTATTTCAACCAAATTTAAATTCACAAAAATATTTTTTTAAAATTTTTTATTAAATAATTTTTTAATTTAAAATTTTGTTGCTTTAAAATTTTCACAACTAAACATTTTAGGTTTACATTTATAAATTTATAATATTTTCAACTATCATGTATTGAAAGACAAAATTTACTAACCAACAGTTATTATTTTCTATTAATTTTTGCAAAAATTTTTAACTATCATTTTTTAATAAAAATAATTTCCCATTTGGGTGGCATTTTGTTAACTTAAATAAATATTTTATAAAATTATTGAGATTAATTTGGTAAAGTTAAATTTTTTAGTATTTAAAAATAGTATCAAGCCATTTAAAATAAAAACACATATAAAACATTTTCTACCAAAATAGTTTAAAAAGTTAAATTTTCGTAAACTCAAAACTATTGATAATCAAAAAATATTTAAAATATAAAATGCAACTGTAAAAGTTTAGTTTAAAAATATTAATTTAAAAAAAATGGAATTTTAATATTTTATTCTTCAAAATTATTGGTTTGAATTTGTAAAGAGTCATTTAAAGTCGATTAATTTTCAATAAATAATTTGAACATTACATTTAAATGTTAGTTTTAAATTTTAAAGTGGTAATTTTTGCATTAAAAATTTATTGACTATCATTTAAACGACTCTTTACGAATTTAAACCAATAAATTTTTTAACAATTTTAAATGTAAGTCGATAATTTTTAAATTACAAAGTTGAAACGTAGCTTTAGTAGAAGGCACAGTGTTGCCAAATCGTGCTTGCTCCATAAATATTTGACGCGTTTTACAAATTATCGTAATGAAATGTTTCTGTATTACATAAATTTAATAATAGAACAACAACATTTTTAGTGCCTATTGTACTAAGTTAAAAAAAAACATCAACGGATCAAACTGGCTGCATCGTGGCTCCGATCCCAGACTCTTGTGCCTTCTACTAAAGCTACGTTTACACTTTGTAATTTAAAAATTATCGACTTACATTTAAATGTAAAGATAAATTTTGTCTTAAAAATATATCACTTTAAAATTGTTAAAAATAAAAAAAATTGGTTTAAATTTGTAAAGAGTCAGTTAAATGATAGTCGATAAATTTTTAATTCAAAAATTACTACTTTAAAATTTAAAACTTACATTTAATGTAGGTAATGTAAGAATTTTTGTATTAAAAATTTATCAACTATCATTTAAATGATGAATTTTTTAGAATTATTACTTTTAAAAATCAATATTTTTAAACATAAATTTTTACTGTTGCATTTTATATTTAAAATATTTTTTGACTATCAATTGTTTTGAGTTTAAAAAAATTTAACTTTCCAAAGGTTGTTGAAATAATCAAATTTGTTCAGGTGCTTATAATTCGTATATTTTTAGGTTAATAGTAGTTATGCAATACTAATTTTTTGTTATTTTTGTGAGTTTTTTTGTTTGTAAACACCCATAAGTATATATATTATAATATAATATAATTATATTACTTATTATTTGTACTTACCCATTTTGAATCCAGCATTAAACATTTCATATATTCCTGTAAAACAACAAGAACACATTAAACTTATACAAAATAAATAAATATGTTTATCCTAACTCACCATCATATTTGGATCCTTATTCATAATGTCATAATTCGTGTGATCATCTACAAAAAACCGGCAAATCTTAAAACTAACTAATTGGACACCCCTGGCCTATCATGTTAACTCACGCCCATCATAGAGGGCGGTAAAACAATCGCTGTTACTGTCAGTTAATAAAATCGAGAAAAATGAGTGCTCAATATTCTCAGGAAGAGTTAAAAATCGCGATTGCCAAAATACTTTTATCAAGTGGGTGGAGCTCGGTGCAAATGGCGGCTTTGGAAGTGACGACAGACGTGGTATCTAGATTTTTGAGGGAGCTAGGGAGAAAAACAAATGGCTACGCTAATATTGGTAATAAGTCGAAGGTATCTATGTTTTGTTTGATTTTGATATTGTGTTGTTTTAGTGGGTCAAAGTGAACCAAATCTGGATCATTTGGGGGTGGCTTTTAGAGATTTTAACGTTACTGTTAGGCAGTTGGAGGATTTTGTTTGTAATGGTAAATGTCCCACGCCTAGACATGTGCCAAGGTATCCAGTAAAAAAGGATTAAAAATGTTCATATTTTGTAAAAATGTAGTTATGTAAAATAAATGTCTTACCATCAGATATTCCACTCTTCTTTATGCAAGCATCGTGTAAATCGTCAATAAACTCCTTTAATTCACTGGGTATTTCCATCTAAAGAAAAAAATTATTTTTATGTGAATTTTATTTTTTTACTGCAAATAACTCTTACAGATGAAATCGTTGCAAACAAACATGCTACGAGAACTAAAATTATTTTAGCGGTCATGTTTTACAATGTACAGCTAATTTTCTGTAGGTAAGTAGGTACTAAATAAAAGACAGCGATTTTTATTGTTTTTTATACTTAAAACTCCCCTTTGATTTAAAATGTTAATAATCCATTATTTTGCTCTTAATGTATGCTTATTATTCCGTTATTTTTTATTGTGATTGATACCCTTCAATGTGTCATATATTTTGTTAATATATGAGTTTAGTTTTTATTAATAAAATTAATGGTTGTTTATTGTCTTTGGAAATTATTGGTTTGTGACAGTTTAAAAAAAAATACATAATTATATGTGCTATGATTGTATTAAACTATAAATTTAGCAATTTTTAAACAATAAAATTACCTATATAGAAGAGTGTTGGCAATAAAAAAATTTAGGAACTTTCTAAGAAAGAAAATTTGTCTTGCTACAAAAGCATATACACAGTAAAAAAAAATCAACTCTAACCAACACTAATGTTTTATAACACTATAATTAGAGTTAATTTGTTGTGTAATTTTCCCCAAGTAAGCAAGTATGATTTAACACCATAGCACTGAGGATAAAGTAATTTTACACTGTATTAAAAAGTGTTAATTTACCTAAAATCGTGTACTTCTACACTTTCTGGGTAAAATCCCACTTTTGTTCAGTGTAAATTAACACTACTTTGGAAAAGTTCTAATTTTAGAAAGGTACTTTTACTCTTTTAGTGCAAACTTCTAGTGTAAATTTGTAAAACCTATTGGTGGTAGTGAATAAAACGAAAAGGCAAATAAAGAGAAACATTTATTTGGAACAAAAATCTATGACAATTATCAAAATCGGTGCCTTTTAAAATATAATTTTATATTTGAGTCGTATGGCTGGCTTAAGCAAAATGGTTCCTTAAAACGTAAAAATTTTAGATCAATGCAATGTTTTACTGGCTGTCAACTTGTAAGCAATGAATTATCTTGAGAATTCATCAGTAATCCATTCTTCTGTTATAAAAAATGGGTGATCCCATTGGTAGAGAGGCGTCAGGCTGCTGTATGTCGGGGATTTACCACATGTGTACAAATTTTCCATAATATTAATAAAAATGTAGGTATAGGTTAATATAACAACCATTACGCTTGAAAATAAAAAGTAAATCAAGTGTGTATGTATTTATATTATTAATGTTACCCAACCTACTGCCGTAAATTATTGATATATAATATAGGTCGGGTATGGACATCCTTTTAACATATTGGTATTTATTGAGTATTAAGGCTTAAAGAAAAAGGAAGTATAATACTTACCAAAAAACAAGGATGGATTCACCGTAATTAAAATCTAACTGAACAAAAATGCCACACTTCCACAACGCGGTATCTCCGGATATGCACTGCGTAGGTAGATAGTTACAAACCAAACATTTTAAAACGCATTTCGGTTATTACCAGTTTTTTCAGTCTATTTTGCCTCTATTGGTGTAATTTAACTTTAATTGTGATACAATGTGCACTAGTAGTGTAAAGAAAAATCAAAACAGACAAAGAAATTGGCATGCACTGTAGTGTACATTTTGTCACTATTTAACACATTAAGGGGTAATAAACACTCGCATTAAGTTTTTCTACCCTTTTGATTTATTTTAATAATAAATAGTATGAATGTACCAATGAATAATGTTCATATTCTTTAAATGTGTTTGATAAAGTTAATAAGCACTAAATGCAACCTAGTGTATTTTGTGGTGTAACTTTTACACTTACAAATCAACTCTAATATTTTACCCCTACACTAAAAAATTTACACGGGCAAAATTGTTTACTGTGTATAGAATAACATAAAACTTTAAAGAAGAAATTTAATAAAAAGATTTTTTCTTTTTTTTGCTTTGTTTTGTTTTGAAATGGATAAAAATGAAAACGTAATTTGCCCGAAGGACTTTTCGTGGCTCAGGGAGAATTGAGACTAATCTTGAAAAAGCGTCAGGAACGTCAAGTAATTTCGGTTGACGACTTCAATTTCAACACTTAGTGTTTTGATATATTTTATTGTTGTCGAGGAAAAAAGCAAACAAGAAAAAAAGGTGCACGCCGAGAATTTATTTGCGAAAAATAAAATCACTTTGTCAGGTTTAGTGGCCCTGAAATTCTTATCTTCCCGGGATTAAAACTCATTAAAGTGCACAGATGTTTTTAAGTGCCGACAGAATATTAAAAAAACATTGTAAGTTACAATTTGTTACAATGTCATTCTGATGCACAGGAATTATTATTATGGGTAAACACTAAAGTGATATTTTCAATTAGATGAAAAATATCATATAAGAAATTTTATTCTGGAAATTAAAAATATTATAATAGATATTTAAAAAATAATTTAATTTTTATGCCATGCTGATATTTTTAATTTTCCAGGTTCCAGATTTTTAACCGCAATTAATTAATTTTTACAATGTTATAAAAGTCTAAAACCTATCCTCCGTGACTGTTACTCTTTCTAGGTTAACCTATATGTTTTCAAATATCTGAGGTAGTAAAAGCATACTAAAAATATCAGTTCACTAAGTAAATTAAACACATCCAAAGCAATCGAATCAAATATAAAATATTATTAAAAATTATTAGAAATAATTTTTATAGCTATTTACGTAGGTGTTACAAAAATTGATTCTATCCTCCGTGAATCTGTTTGCTTTAAATTTTATGCAACGGATGGCGCTTTAATCATTTTAAATAGGCAAAAACCTCTGTTTACGACATTATAGATGCATGTGATTCCTGAAGGTCAGTTAGAATTTAAATGCAGATGAGAGTGTTGCTGTTTTATAACTGCTAATTTGCTGTTTAAAAACCTATCCACCGTGAAGTGTAATATCTCAGTAAGTAGATTTTTTTTATAAATATTTTATGTATGCACAATTGCATTTTTTTAAATATTAAGGTGTCAAAAGATAGAATAACTTATTTCAAGTATACAAAGAGATGTTTAAAAAAAACATACGAAATCCTAACCTCCGTGAAGCTCTAATATTCAAAATGTATTAAAAAAATATTTCCTATGATAAAAAATTTGTATAGTATTTTAATAAATTCATTAAAAACGATTTTCTGTAATTTTTTTTCTTCACATTTCCAAAATATGATCTCCCGAGACTTTTAATGCCCGTTTTATTGAGTCGGTTCAGCAGTGAGGGCTCTTAATGAAAGAGCAATAAATTAAGAAGTCCCTTTCTTATCTGAAGTTTTATTGTGCTACGGTGAGGGGCGCGTAAAGTCACCTTTTGCGTTCTGCATGTAGGACAGCTGCTCAGGGGGATATGCGCTTATCATTACCGTGCCCCGAACACGCCGAGATTGTTTTTTATCGCAACTTCGCGCGACCTAAAAATCGCTTTAATTTATCGTCGACACTTGGGTGCTTACGTTTTAATCAATTAGACGAATCGTATTTCACTTGGATCGTGTCTACGAAATGAGAAATTAAATTAGTCTATCCAGTGGCGCACATTGGGGTGGATCAAAGGTCATTTCAAATAAAATTATCGAAAATTTATTTCTATATCTAGAGTGCCTTGCATTTTAACAAGAAAACTGCATCTCTTAATTGAAAAGCATAGGAACTTTCAAAGAAAGAAAATTTGTCTTGCTACAAAAGCATATATACATATACATATTAGGGTGATTCATTTCCGCAAAGTTTTTGTTTTCTTCGGTGCTCAAGCAAAATATTAATCTGCATATAGAAAAAAAAATTCTCAACAAGTTTGAGCTCTTAATATAAATTATAAGTACTTACTATTTAAATTGAAAGTTTTACCGTTTAAAATGCATGTAAAAAATATATTTTTTTTTTCAAATTTCCAATGCTTACCCTTAGCCATTTTTATAACTGAAAACGTAAGAAATTGATAATTACCAACTCATAATGTTATTTAGATTGATTTTTTCTATTTATTATCATTATATTTCCCTACACTAAGAAGTTTTTTAAAATGATTGATTTCTCACTTATAATGAATATGAAAACAACAGATAAATTCATAAAAAAACAATAAGAAAATTGTAACGTGGATTTTGCAATTTTTCAACATTTCTGTCATATAGCAAAAAAATATAAATGAAGATTATTTAATTTTTTGAAGCGAAATTTGAAATATGTTACATAACCTTCTGTATATTCCGATTAAAGTTTTGTTGTTTTTTTATGAATTTATGTGTTGTTTTCATATTCATTATGAGTGAGAAATCATAATAATTTTAAAAAAGTTCTTAGTGTAGGGAAATATAATGATAATAAATAGAAAAAATCAATCTAAATAACATTATGGGTTGGTATTTATCAATTTCTTACGTTTTCAGTTATAAAAATGGCAGTAAATTCATTAAATATTGGTTGGATAACTTTTTTTTTATGAATCAGCCGTTTTTTTCTCACTACTTTTGGCGATTTGCTCGAAAAAATAAAAAAAACCGATTTTTTTCAAAAACTGTCCTTTGACGACTCCTACTGGTGAACCAATGCGAGTTACAAAAAAAACTCAAAAGCAATTTTAAAGAGCGTGAAATTCCCCATAAGGTGTATTAAACCAATTTGCAATATTGTCAAAGGTGCACCTTACCCATGGGTAAGCATTAGAAATTTGAAAAAAAATATATATTTTTACATGCACTTTAAATTTAAATAGTAAGTGCTTAAAATTAATATTAAGACCTCAAACTTGGTGAGAATGTTTTTTCCTATATGCAGATTAATATTTTGCTTGAGCACCGAAAAAAAAACAAAAACTTTGCGGAAATGAATCACCCTAATATATGGATACTATTGACCTAACCACATTTTATTTTGATGTCAGAGCAAATATCTCTTAGTCCAATAGTATGTATTGCTTTATTCAAAAGCTTCTGATCTTCACTGAAACTACCAGCGTTGTTAGTATTTAAGCTTAAATTCCCCTCACCACATAGGCCTTTTGATTTTAATTATTGAAACATGCATTTAACAATTAAAATCAAGCCTAAATATTTTGGCATCGTTGAAAACTAGAAGATTGACTAAAAAATGAT